AAATCATACCAAGATACACAAAAATGAAATTGTCCAAAAATTATTGTAAAGAAAAAAAATCATTAAAGCATATACATAAAAAATATTAGCTATGGAAGAACAAAATTCTTATTCCACATTAGAAAGAAAAAAAGGACCAAGTGTGTAAAAAACTAGACTAATCAAAGGACTGAAAGGAAAGATCTGTCCTCTTTGAATTTTACACTTAGCAAACACCTTTGAAAACTAAAAGTAAGATTTTTCTAGTTACACAAACTTGAAATATTTTAATACCTCCAGAAGTAGCATATAGGAAATAACAAGGAGCATAATTCAAAAGGCAAGAGATGGGGCCGGGGAGATGACTCAGTAGAATAAGTGCTTCCCTGGCAAGCACAAGGGCCTGAGTTCAATCCCCAGTTCCGCAAAAAAAAAAGGCAAGAGAAGTTGTAGTATGCTCCTGGATGAATAATAAAGAACTCTCAATATGATAGTTATGCAGGACTATATAAAAAATATATTAGATGAACCCTTATTTAAAGATCATTGCAGATTTCTATGAAACAGTACCAATCTTATGTTGGGTTATACATGTATTTTTTTTTTTATGTGTGTATAAAAGACAGGAAAGAAGTAATATAAAGTCAATAGGAAATGGAAATACACTTTTTAAAGTTTCTATACTAGGAGGAGATATCATACCATGTCTTTTAAATAAATTGTAAGTCAAAGATATAATATAAATCTTAGAACAAAATGAAGATTAAGCAATGTTCAGAAAATTAAATACTAATTAATTAGAAATTAAGTTTTAAAACAATTGAACTAAGAAAAAGTTTTCATGATTGCAAAGAAGTACTAAGAGTAAAACATAAGATAAATACTGGAATGGCAAATAAATGACCAGCACTTCTAACAGTTTGAGGATAGGATATCACACAAAGTTCTAGTGTATTGTGGACATGCATAATGGCCATGACAGTTACTGGTGGCCAGGTGTATGACCTTTATTATATTAGTTAAAAAAAAAAAAAAAAAAAATACCCTGAAAGACTTCTACTACCTCGCAGAATTTTTTTTTTCAATAAAGCTGAAGAGTAGACTTAACATTTCAAGTGGCTTCTCTTTTTTTTCTTTTTTTAAATGTTTTTAAGATAGAGTCTCCCTACACAGCCCAGGCTGGCCGTGAGCTCACTTTGTAGCCCAGGCTAATCTCAAACTCCGAAGCATCCTCCTTCCTCGGCCTCCCAAGTACTGACTAGGATTACAGGTGTGTGCCACCATGCCTGGCCTCAAGTGCTTTAAAAACACACTGCATTGTGTATTAAGACATAGATAATTCAATCCCTGGTAGAGAAAAAAAACTTGGCAATAAACAGGTAAATAAAAATTATTAACAGGCAATTTACATGTAAATTATAACACATTAGAACAATTATATCAGTGGTTTAGTATTAATTAGTGCTCACTAAATATAAGATTTTATTTAATGCCTTAAGAGAGTGCCTGGGGTTTTAAAATAAATATCTGAAGGGCTGGCGAGATAGCTCAGTGGACTAAGCGCCTGCTTGGGCAAGCATAGGGACCGAGATTCGATCCCCAGCACTACATGCCACGCCAGCCCTGCCCTGGGCACACTGAGCTGTTTGCTGAGTCTGAGCCTGTAATCCCAGTGCTAGGGAGGCTGAAAACAGGAGGTTAACTACGAGTCCAAGCTGCGTAGTGAGACCCTATACCAAATACATAATAAATTAATAAATCAGTAACGAAATACTTGTTTCCATTTATGGAATTTGCTTACACTAAACTGTAAGTTACGTACACCCGAGTGGCCCAGAAACTCACTACTAACAGGTAAGTAACCCTTTTGTGTCTAAGGATCTCTCAGGTCTCTGTATGTCATGAATTGTGTACCAAAGAAGGTCCTGAAAAGTATAGGAATGAAAGGATTTACAGTACTCAATTATTGTTTCCTAGAAAGAGAAAATCAGACTTGGTTGCACTTTTGCCCTGCATGATAGAAAACAGAGCTTTTCAACTATTTCCCATCCCTTGCAACAAGTTGCCAAGCACAGAACTCTTTGGCGAATAACAGCAGATTAGTGTAGGGCTGGGGGAGGAAGGAAAGGCTGGACAGAGTTTTGGTGTGCTCATCATTAACTCCACCTCCCTCTGTCTTTAAAATGGATTGCAATATGTGTATAATACTTAGATGAAAGGGAATAGGAAACATTTCCTTATGAGTGATACTTTTAATTCATTCTAGCATAGAACACATTTCATTATTAATAAAGAATAATGACTTTGTTATAAATCTCATAGAAAATCAGATTGAAAGTTTAAAAAAATTTTTTTTTGTTTGGTTTTTGTTTTGTTTTGTTTTGTTTTGTTTGTGGAACTGGGGATTGAACTCAGGTCCTTGTGCTTGCCAGGGAAGCGCTTATTACACTGAGCCATCTCCGATCCCTCAGATTGAAACTTTAATTCAAGTCAGAATCCACTGGAAATTTTCTTACAAAAATGTTACTAAAATCTAAACTTCCTAATAACTTCTGTAATCAAACCTGTTACAGTATGAATTCATCTTATCTAAATTAAACCTTAATGTAAAAAGAGCAAAATCACTAGCAGGGGCTGTCAGATGTACTTCACCTTTTCATTAACTGACTAAATGAGTCTGAGATGCGTAGAAGCATCAGAATATGCTGCATTAATTTAGGGAGACATGGGCTGTGGAGATAGCTCATCGGCTTAAGTGCCTGCCTGGCAAGCACTGGTTCTGAGTTTGATCCCCTGTACAAAAAAAAAAAAAAAAAGAGAAAAAGGGAAAAAAAGTATAGAAACTCTGGTTATACCACTTTAGGCAGCGCTTGAAAAAATAGCTTGTTGAAGAAGCTGGCTTCGATTATGGGTGTCTGGCTAGCTATGATGACCTTTTACAAAATTAATGTCCTGTATGTTGGAAATGAGGAATGTGACTTGCAGGATCCTGTAATTTACTTCAGAGTTTGGATACTAGCAGAAAGCAGAGAACACAGGGAACCCTGCAATCTTGACAGAAATCACTAATTAGTACGTGAATACCATTGTCCATTTACTTGGCTGTATAGAAACACTGTGAGCTGTTGTAAATTGGATGATCTTAACATGTCATAAAAGCCTTTTGTGACTCTGAAGAGTATTCCAGTAATATTGCAAATAACTCAGGGTCTACTTAAGGAAGGAAAGAGAGGGAGTGGTTGATTGGGCTCTGGGTTTCCCATAATAACTAAAAAGCATGTTCAAGAATTTAGGCTAATCTATTATTGTTCTTATAGTTTTGCCACCTCACACTGGCATTTACTTGGCATTAATTACATAGCACTCTAAAGTGATCTGTGAAGTTCTGATCTTTTTAATTCCTTTCATCAGTGTTGGGGCTGTGGAGATAGCTCATAGAATAAGCGCCTGCCTGCCTGCCTGGCAAATGCAAGGTCCTGAGTTCAATCCCTGGTGGGGGTGTGTGTGTGTGTGAAACACTGAGATTTTGTATTTACATAGTTTCTTGGTAGTTATTAAATTTGTCACTTTATCTTGCATTTCTAGTGTTAAGTTGATATTTGCAAAAAAGCCTTTTAATGTTGATTTAGTTGTTTTTCTTTAATAGGAATATCTTACCAAATTAGGCAATACAGAATGTCACCCAGAACAGTTTTTGGAAAGAAGATCAAAATTAGATAAACTATTGATTATTATTCAAAATGAAGACATTGCAAGTTTCATTCACAAGGTAGAATGTTAAATCAAACTCACTACTTATTTTGATTTTTAAAATAATTTTTAATCTGTAAGGCTAAAAGTTTTTAAACTTTGAAGATTGTGTCTTTAATGTACTTTTGTTCGTGGTAGGTTCTCAAGCACATAAACGTTGCTTTATGTATTGGGAAATAATTTAGGGATATTTTTTTCATATGACAGTTTCTAAGTGAATTCAGTACTCTGAGCCTTATTGCAGTTTGTTGGACTTCAAGTTTTAGTTAATTCATCCAAGTTTTAGTTCATTTCTTTGTCCATCCGTATTTCTATTTTGATTTTTAATAGGTACCTGGCTTGGTGACTTTAAAGACCCTCCCTTGTGTTAGTTTTGCTGGTGTTGATAGCCTGGATGATGTTAAAAATCATACATACAATGAGTTGTTTGTATCTGGAGGCATTATTGTATCTGATGAATCAATTCTAAATCCAGAGGTTGTCACAATTGGTAAGATCATTCTTTTGAGCATATAACATCCCCTCTTCCCTAGGTTATTAGAAAACTAAAACTAGCAACTGGTACTTTTTAATGTATTATCTGTTTTACATTCACAGTTAACTAGTACATTTCCATCTTTTCCTGAGTTGCTGTTACTGGCAGTGTTGTCATCAGTATTTTTTTGTAGATATACTACATTCATAGAGATGTCTTTCCTTTTAGAGGAAGGTAAAAGAAAATGAAAACAGTACATAGAAAAGTAGGAGTTTCTGTACAATATGAACACTTTCATAATTCAGGTATGGAGTGTGTGATTGCCACTTATTGAATTTCATTCTCTTAACAGAAAGCCTTAAAATTTTTTTGACATTCCTTGAAGAACTTAGTACTCCAGAAGGAAAATGGCAGTGGAAAGTTCACTGTAAATTTCAGAAAAGGCTAAAGGAACTAGGCAGGTAAGATTTGGAAAATAACTGTATTGTGGTTGTTGATTTTAACATTTTGCTCACAAAAACTTTTTTCTCTTACCCGTGTTTATGCATTATAGGCACTGCTATTTTTACAGATGTCCATAGCTGGTCATAAGGGAATATAAATACCGAATTATTCCAGTCTTTTAGGATGGAATAAGTAGATGTTTGGTGAAATTCTGTTACATATATAGGTAAAATGGGTTTAATCTGTTGTTAGAATAACCAGAATTGTTTGCTTGCTTTTGTAGTACTGGGAATTTAATGAAGGGCTTATGTACTGAGTTACATACCCTGTCTTTTATTTTTTGAGACAAGGTTGTTAAATTGCTCAGGCTGGCTCAAACCTGCAATTATCCTTCTAGAGTGTTGAGATTATATGCATGTGCACCATGTCTTTTTATTTTTTAACTGTAACAGCTAGATCAAGCCATTTCTCAGTTGAGTACTACCTTAGGTAGCTAAGTCATATGTATTTGGACCAGGATCAATCTCAACGTTATAAGATCTATTATTAGGTTATCATGATGTATATGTGTTACACCTAATATGCCTGAAGTCAGTTTCTTGAACGAGTCACTTGAGAGGCTCCGCAAACAAATCAGTGATCCCATGAGTCTGATATATTGTAACCTAGTTGCAAGTCCATAAAAGGCAATTTATACATTAAAGGATTTCAGAAATTATAGGTAAGAATTATGTTTTATATTGTATCATCAGCATATCCTAAAATTAAGACTACAGAACTTCTATTTCTTATAATACCTGTTGACATTCCATGGTACATTTCAGGAAATTCAGGTTTCAATAATTGTAAAGTGTTTAACACCTTAGAAAGGTGATAGTTCTTTTCTTTGTTGGTGGTACCGGGGATCAAACTTGGGGTGCTCCATCCCTGTGCCACATCCCCATGCCTTTTTGAGATAAGGTTTTGCTAAATTTAAATTGCCCAGACTAGCCTCAAACTCATGATCCTGGGCTAGGGAGATAGCTCAGTGGTCAAAGCACCTGCCTGGCAAGCACAAGGACTTGAGTTTGATCCCAGAATCGCATGTCATACTGCCCTGAAACCAGGCGTGGTAGCACACACCTGTAATCCCAGCGTTGGGGAGGCTGAGACAGGAGGGTCACTACAAGTCTGAACTGCGTAGTAAGACCTTATATATAAATAAGTAAATACCTCATGATCCTCCTCCTGCCTCTGTTTCACAAGAAACTGGTATTACAGGTATGGACACTAATTTTAGCAGCAATTTGCTTTTTAAAAACTTGGTCATCTATACAGCCCATAAAGTAGACATTTGGGAAATCTCAGTATGTATTATTGTCTTAAACAGTACTGAGAGACCCAAAAGTATGACTTGAGTGTTGTGTTTGATATTGTGCTTCATTAAAATTCAAAATTTAAAAAACTAAAAGCAACTGTAGTAAGTAAGTAGGATGATTAAGACTTTAGTGTAAATGGAGTAGCTTAATTTCAGGCTTTAACACATTACTTTCCCCACCCATTTTACATAAAAGTTGCCTAATTCCTACTGTCTGTCCTGAGAAGCATCCATATGTTAGGTACTAAACTGAGCTGTAGTGCTGTAGTCGTTAGTTGCCTCAGTTAAGCAGTAGTAGTTTTAATTGGAAGCAAAATCTTCTGTACTAAATTTTAGTGGAGATATAATGAACTCTGCTTAATTTCAGATTGAATGCTAAAGCTCTAAGCCTGTTGACACTTCTGAATGTGTATCAGAAGAAACATTTGGTTGAAATTTTGTCATACCATAGTTGTGATTCTCAAACTCGAAATGCTCCAGAACTGGATTGCCTTATAAGACTTCAGGCTCAGAATATCCAACAGCGACACATAGTGTTTTTAACAGGTAAAGAAAAAACATTATTAAATTTTCTACTATGAATATAGCAATATCAATAAAAGGATATAGTGGGGCTGTAATTCTGAACATGAGTAGAAAATTTTGTTGCAGATTGGGTGGCAGGCATGTCTATTTTCATGTGGTTTATCATGAACCTGTTCTTTAATTTAGAGAAGCATATCAAGCTGTTTTCCAGTTATACGGATAATGGAATAGTAGTTGCAACTGCTGAAGACTTTATGCAAAACTTTAAAAATCTTGTGGGCTATCACAACTCAGTCGCAGAAGAAAGCCTTCCGTTCCTTGGTGCTAATGAGAATCTTGAGTCACAGTCAGGTAACTTTTCAGTAGTTTTCTTTTTCATTTAAGGCAGACAGAAAAAGAGGAATGTTTTTCTCTTGATACGAAATAATAAAATGACTATTTTGAAGCCATTCACCTCAGCATAAAGAGCCTTGGGGTCAGTTTCAAGGAATTTGTCATCCTGAGATTTAAAATGCACTAGATGTGTTCATATATCATACTGTAGTCCAGACAACTTTTTAGTTATTAAAGACTGGTGTACACAGTTCTGTTTATACTGTGGACTATACATTTTCTGAGGGAATATAAGTTTTACTGACTATTGTCCAACAAAGGGGTTTTATTAAGAAAAAAAGTAGGAAACTTACTGGGATTCAGCTGTGGGCCACTAAATCTCACATTTATGAAACATTTTAATTATGGTAAGGCTATCATGTCCTCAGTTTTCTGTGAGATGGCCCGTGCTTTGGTTACAGAGCTATGGAACATGAAAGTACTTACTACTATTCTTGGTGAAAAGCAGAGATAATCAAACACTAGATACAGCTAACCCATTTAGTAATCCAGTGAAGCTAGATGTCAGAAATTTTATTTTATATTTGTCTTATGAAATACTTAATTACCGTATAACTTTAGATGCTGTTTTGACATTAACCCCTTTGGAGCTGGGAGTTGGGATTTCCCAACATTAAACGTGAACACATTTCGCAGAAGCTTTTAGCATCGGATTATCTGGACATTCACACCTAGTGTGAGTGTTGTGACTAAGTGAACTTGTGGCAGAAGACCAAGCTTTAAGGGATTGTGGACTTGCTGACCCTGACGCATTATATTGTGTGAGTAGTGTATAACTTTAAACCTTAAACAAATTGTGTATTTCAATAGAGGAGGACTTTTTGTTTTTTAAATGTAGCTCTTTTAGAAAACGATGAAAAGGATGAAGAGGATATGTCTCTGGATTCAGGTGATGAAATCTCACATATAGAAGTATGCAGCAATTTTCATTCACAAATATTGGCGAAAGAAATCAAGGATCAAGTGGAGGAGATCAGAAAAGAATACTCAAATTGGGTTGCAATCGTCTCTTGACATACAAATAAGTTTATTAGAAGATAAGACTTCCCAAATTGATTCTGAAGAGAGAACTTCTATTGATATAGTATGTCCTGCAGGAGAAAACAGCAATTCAGCAGAACAAGATTCATATAGCATCTTTCAGGTTTCTCAGAGTCCATTAAATATGTCCCATCAGTTTAGTCATTTTAATGTACTCACTCATCAGACTTTTCTGGGGACATCATATGCCCTTTCATCAAGTCAGTCTCAAGAAAATGAAAATTACTTATCTGCTTATACTCAATGTACATCTCCATTAAGTTGGAGAAAAAATGATTCTTCCAGGTCATACTGAAGGGTTACAATAATAGTAACTTTTAAAAATTAGGTTGTGGACCTCTTCTGTTTCTTAACAGTGAATTATCAATTTATATTCTCTAAACACAAGGTTTCTTATCCTTTATGAAATTTTTCT